TCTAGGCTGAAACGTCAAAATACACGAGCTCATTTACAAATGAAGGACTCTTTTCTTTCCATAAAAGAAACATTTGATAAATAGGGTAGCCCCAGTTCCGCGCGAGACTTGATTTTTCTTGCGTCGTTAAAATTGCATAATAATTTCAAAATGTTCCTTTTAGCGTCCTGGGATTTTAAAATTTTTTCAGATTTTGTAAGAGCGCGCGGAACTGGGACATCGCATATTAAATACTGTAATGCTCTATTTTATTTCGGGTTTTCCGAGCGATTGCATTCCATCAACAGCAACAGAAATAACAGCCTAAAGACTTATTGAAATGTATATTCAGGTCGATAGTTAATTTTCGGCTCGTCTGGATGTCAAACGGTTGAACGGCATTTGAGCCAGGAATTGGGGGAAAATGTGATTGATTGTCTCTGTATATATATTTTTTATCTCGCTCTTTTATTTTGCAGGCAAGATCGAAGCTGCCCAAAAAACGCCGCAGGGTGTTGCCAGTGGAGCAGCCAAGAGCCAAGTTCCGGCAGAGAGAAGGCAATGTCTTTTCCAGACGAATGAATGCCATCAAGCACCACCCTGGCAAGCCTTCTGGTACCTCGTTTTATTTTGCACGCCCTGTTGCTGCTGCTAACTTTCTTGCTGTGTCCATTTATCCATTCACTCTCATCCTATTATTCAAACTGAAATATATACATATACAGTATATATATACTTCTATCTGCTAATTAACTCGGTAACTTGCTACATGTCAGTCGATTCTTTATACATTTTTTATTGTTCCAATGATTGTCTCTATATATTCGTTCGTCGCTGTTACTTATTGTCCTTTCCCGGAATGAAGGCGTCTGGAAAACTGCTCCAGGTTTACATTTTTGATGGTGCATTTGTCCAGATCGTTGAAGATAAGCAGGCTGAAGATTTGTTTCTTGAAGGTTAAATGGGTGTAAAAATTGAATTTATAATTTGCGTTCGTTGTCAATTTTTGTACGCAAAACTTCGATGGTATGTTCACCGTGCCTATATTCAAAAAACTGTAAAAATAACTAAAGAATTTTGCATGCTTCCTCAAATTTGTCAATTTTCAATCATTCCGCCGTTTTCCGAATTTCAGAAATTTATTTAATTTTTTATGCAAAAATAATGTTTGTTGGAATTTGATTTTAATGTGCCCATGTATCCCAACAACAGGTCTTTTTCGAGAAGCTCAAGAGTGCAAGAGATGAAGTGTCTCATCATCAGTCCTTTACTAGTTTACTATACCTCTGCCGTTTTGAAATCGAGAAAATTACTTTCAATCTCTTTTCTGTTTAAAAGCATAAAAAGGGCATTGAATTCGTTTTAAATCTTTAATTTTAGTTTTGAACTAGGGGTTGAACCAGAGCTTTTGGAAATGTGATAAAACCTTGCAAAATGAAAATACGAAAGCGAGAAAGCATGTTAAAATTTTTCAAGGTATATTTTAATTAGGTCGTGCTGATGATCATATCAAATATGAAGCCATGAAATTCATAGAATTAAACGTGAATCTTATCAAAAAATCAGATATCATGAACACTCGAATTGAAACTTTTCTATGCAGGTATAGATTGGTGTACAAAAACAGATTCAGTTTTCTGGAGATGAGGTCAATGCTGTTGGAAACTGGTCAATTATCTGCAGTCTGCTTTTATTCATCAAATTTCGTCATATCCTTCATTCCGCGGAAAATAAATTGGAATAATCCAGTAATTGGTCTTGTCTTTTTGAAATTTATTGTGGTGTGTTTTATTGTCATCAAGTCGGTGTACAGCACACAGGCTGTGTGATGAGGTGCTGGTTCATGGCGGTGAATGTCTTCGTTTTCTTGGTATCGCTGTCATGAATGCTTCCGTGGTTGCAAAGCGGAAAAAAAAAAGAAACTTGGAAACTTTTGGAACTCACTGAATGGTCTGGGTTGTGAAAATTTCGAATCAAAATTCTTTCCGTGTCGAATGGTAAAACAAACAAAAAACGAGAAAAGTTCAAATTATTATTGTTCCGATCACATGCTTGCAGCAATGGGAAATTTTCTTCCGTTCTCTCGTGACAGAGAGCTTATTATGTAGCAATCCTTGGTTAATTTTGCATGCTCGTGTGTATATATGTGTGTGTGTGTCGAAACGTAATTCACGTTTAGTGCTTGTCAGAATATAATTCTTTAGCTAGTTTTTTTGAGCAGTAGACAATTTTTTGAATAGAAGTTCAGTTGAAGGCTGTGCCAGAAAATTCCGTATCAAAAAGGCAGACTAGATTTGTTTTTGGTGTGACGTAGATATCTTATTATTGGTGGTGCGCTTCATGACCTCATAAAGAAGTATAAGGTCTGAAAATGATGGAGACGAGAGGTTTTCTATATAATTGCGAGAGAAAAAAAATGAAAGATTTGATTGGTTTTAATTGAAGGCATAAATGGAATCAGAGGAGAAAAGGATGAATTGCCGCCTTTGTCCCCGATGCCATTGCAAGCCAGGTCTGCGTTGACAGCCAGAGATGCCACTGCAACTGCATTTCCGATAAAACTTCCTCTTCCGGGTCCCGTTGTCGTCGGCGGATCCGGTTCCGGTGGTACTACTTCGCCAAGTGGTAATATCAATAACACATATTTTTGTATTTATGCTCAAATATTACTGCTCAAAAACTCGAGAAAACAATTTTGAGTTGACTTCAAATTAGTGACAATTACATTGGAAGGATTTTTGTGTCGAATACCATAAACAAGAGATCTAAAAAAATTTGCTGAATATCATATGTGCCCATGCAAATCACGAAAAACTTGGATTTCCGAACGGAAAAAAAAAGTCTGAGTTGACGATATAAAAAAGTGGCTGTTCGTTGCTCGAACGTTAAACGGGTGTAAATATTGAATTTATATTTTGCTTTCCTTGTCATTTTTTTACGCATAACTTCGTTGGTATGCTTACCATGCCTACTCAAAATACTATAAAAATAACAAGAATTTCACATGTTGGTTTTAATTGAAGGCATAAATGGAATCAGAGGAGAAAAGGATGAATTGCCGCCTTTGTCCCCGATGCCATTGCAAGCCAGGTCTGCGTTGACAGCCAGAGATGCCACTGCAACTGCATTTCCGATTAAACTTCCTCTTCCGGGTCCCGTTGTCGTCGGCGGATCCGGTTCCGGTGGTACTACTTCGCCAAGTGGTAATATCAATAACACATATTTTGGTATATATGCTCAAATACTACTGCTCAAAAGTCGAGAAAACAATTTTGAGTTGACTTCAAATTAGTGACAATTACATTGGAAGGATTTTTGTGTCGAATACCATAAATGAGAGATCTGAAAATGTCAGAAAAAGTACTGTGTGCTGAATATTATATGTGCTCATGTAAATCACGAAAAACTTAGATTTCCGAACGGAAAAATTAAAAAAAAAGTCTGAGCTAACGTAATACAGTATAAGTATATATAAAAACGTGGCTGTTCGTTGCTTGAACGTTAAACGGGTGTAAATATTGAATTTATATTTTGCTTTCCTTGTCATTTTTTTACGCATAACTTCGTTGGTATGCTTACCATGCCTACTCAAAATACTATAAAAATAACAAGAATTTCACATGCTTCCTCAAATTTGTCTTTTAATTACATTTTAAATATTGAAGAGGGAACTCAATATTTCAAAATAAGCGAAAGAAAAAAAATTGGATAAGATAACCAGCAATTTTCATGTATTTCTGCTTATCACGCTGAAGTGCTGTGAGAAAACGCGGTATTGCAGTCACATTATTTGTTGGAATGAAATAATGTATTGAACCCAGTTCGAATACATATGTCGTGGATATACAGTACCTTATTTCGAAGTACGGTACTGTATTTTACTGTGTATATATTGTATTTGGCATCAATACACAGCAGCTAAGCTATAAATGAGCCGCGAACTGTCGCAGATGCGAGTGCACATCATCCTCTTTACCGCGGGTAATTCTCATGTCCTCTATGTACATTATTACAGTAAATATTTGTATATGCATATACCATCATCTTGATTAGATATCCTATTATATGTCTCATTTTAGCAGAGACGCCGTTGATACCGCCTGCGCCATTTGCAGACAACACCGGCTCGTCTCTGCTTCTCGCTTTATCTCACACTGTTACCAGAAGAAGCAGTGGCTCCCAGCAGGGCTTCGTCTTTCCGAGCAACAACAATCCGTCTGCTTTAGGGAACAGCTCCGGTGTTGGGTTGCCCAGAGAGCTAGCTGTTTCCAGCAAATTTGTGAGGGAATTCGCACACCGGCTGCCTCATTGATCTTCCTGTCTCAAAATAATTGGTTCTTTCCGTGTGTGAGATTCCACCCGCGGAAGATCAGCATTGTTTAATTCAATTCCGTGTAGGTGTCGCGCCTGAATTCGTAGCCTCTCGGTCGGGCATGTCATAGATTCAAGCGACACCTACACTTTTCAATGAGAAATGAGACTGATAGGGTTGCACACTGATGTGAACTCCTTAATATTGGATTCGCAGGTAAGAGCCAGTCTGTCAGCGATTCCTTCAGGTGAACTCTTAGGAGACAATGGTGTTTCACTGCTACCGATCTCTGCACATGCTTTCAAGAAGCATGAAAGGAGGGCCAGTGTCGGTAAGATGAGAGTTTTTAAGGTCCCCATCAGTTCTTTATGAAAAGCAATGGGTGGTTTTCTGATGGAATAGGTAATGTATAATCATATTGCCCATTCTTTTCAGCTGCGCCATCTATGAATGCGAAGCACAACATTGAGCCAAGCATCTTTCACCAGCAAAGCGCCACCTCTGGGAACAACCTGTTCGTGGAAATCCGTTCGCTAGCGTCTCTCGACCCCAAGCAGCAGAACGGGAAATCGAATAAGCTCAAGCTTTCCAAGACAAGCATAGGTGACGCTGCGTCCCTCACGGTCATCACACCGACGGAACAACCCTCGCAACCGGCTTGTTTGCTGACTTCAGCTGCGATTAACACGACTGCGGCGAAAACCTCGGGTTACCCTGGGGTTGAAGCGACATTGGAGTTTATGCCACCACCTCCGAGCTCATTTTCTAGTCCAATTGCTTCAGGGAACGCGAACTCCAAGGCCAACGTTAAAACGGCGTCGAGATCTGCATCATGAAAATTTAAAAGGGGATATACTGTACTGTATTGTACCCACCGACATGTTCGTCGCTCGAAAGTTCTTCGTCCTTTTTCAAAAAAACTGCGAAGCGAGAACCCCAAATTACCTTTCCCACCTCGATTTATTGCACGTTTCTTCGTTAAGGTTACCGGGAAAGTTTTGGCATACAGTATTTTTCATTCGGCTGGTTATTATAGAGATAGGTTCGGAAATCTTGCAGATATATCATAGGGCAGGTAACAAGCGAAGACAATTGACGATTTCTAAGCGAGGCGAAGCAGGGAAAAAACAGTCAAAATCATTCCTTTTTGAGGCTTCGCAATTCGTTTCTATAGCCATCTTTCAAGCTACCAGTTCGGGATCAATTTCGAAAGGAAAAAGAGGTTGAACAATTTAAATTTTCTATAGCTTTAGAAAATTACCCTGTTTTAATGAGTAATGAAAGAAAAGGGCTCTTCGCGAAAGAAGCCGATTGAAGGATAAATCGGCGAACGTAATTTTTCACGTCCGACTGATTTGCTTTCATTATTTTGTGGTTTGATGGATGCTGAAAATAGAGAAGGAACAATCTTGTGCCATTCGCGCAAAAATGCTGACAATCATTTTATCCACCTTCAAAAAATAAACTTT